GTGAAATGTGACCAATATGTGACAATTATTTGCTTTCCAAACTTGGTGAGTAGAATATCTCTGCTCTACAAGTCCAAACACGAGCGGCATGGCCCTAATTTTACTTTCAAGTACTTCCTGTGAAATATGCTATGTTCCACAAAATGCTTGCTAAAACAGCTAATCAAAATCTAGACATATCCTCAGCCATATTCGAAGTCGGGCTAGAGAATTATATGACCTACTGTTGTCAAACAAGAATGGTTTTCCGAAATGTTATCAAGAGGTGCAACCCCACAAAACCAAGGGGGTTGAAGGAGAGAAGCATTTGTCAGGTATTAAATGGAGAAGCTAAACCTGACTATATCCGGTTATCCGTGATATAGACAGTTCTTGTAAAATATTGATATCTAAACATTAGATGTTCATCACTGTAGATCAAAGGATACAAACTTACCTCAACCGGTCCCTTCTGGGTTGTCTTTGAAGTCCAAATATTCCAAATTGTAATAAGTTCTTGCCTTCTCGTCCAGAGTATGAACTATCACTCTACCTAAATAAAGAAACATTCCAGAAAAACAATTCATCAACAAGTGTACAATATAAAGAATTGGAATATTGGATACTCAAACTATCATTTCAGAATATTTTCCTAGAGCTAAAATTGCAAACCCCAAGGAAAATCATCAACGAGATCAATTCCTTCAAAGCAGCTAAATGCATAAACCAATCGAAACATTTTGATTTATGCATGAAAATACTAAGAAACAACAGAATCTTCGTAACTTTACTGAAATTACTACGAAACAACAGGGTTGGATTTGAGAAAAGAGGGAATGCAGCACGAACCAGAGTCGATGACAATCCATTTTCCCGTCTCTTGTCCTTGCACACTGGGTAATACCATCCTCTTAGCTCCTTTTTGCTTCTGTTTAACCTGTTCCAGGAAATAAATATAAGAATAATCATAGTGAAGATCGAGAAAAGTTGGAAACCAAAAGAAAACCACAAATTCGTACTTTGTAAATTAGGGCTTGGGCGATGTTCTTGACGTGCCACGGGACCTCCTGGTGGCAATCACCATGAAATCGGCCCAATGGCATTGGTTCCCAACCGGAACCACCGCTACGTCATCTGCTCTGACGTCGCTTAGAACCTTCTCCACCTCTTGCAGGCTCAGCAACTCATTGCTTATTCTTTCCACAGTGGATGAAAAAAAGGACTGATTTAATCCTGAAAACCCTAGCTTCCACAACCCATTTGTGAGAGAGGACGAAGATAAAGATGTTGCAGATAGATGCAGATATCGGGATCTTAAAGTCGCCCACATCATATTGCAACTCCTGAAACTCTTTGAACTGGCAATCGCCGCTTCCTCGAGCTATTTGCTCCCCTTTGTGGTGGATTTTAAATTTTGAGTAAACTACACTTTCGATCCCTTTATTTATTGACTTATCTTATTTTTATCATTATTTTTGAAAATTTTACGGTTTGATCACTTTTACTTTCAATCCCTCGTAAAACTGGTTAAATTTTAACTTAACACCTGAAATTTAAATAGAATACCAATTTGATCTTAAACTTTACATAAAATACTAATTTAACCCTTAAATTTTAGATGAAATATAAATTTGACCCCTAACTCCATTAAAATTCTCATTACCGACTATCACCCATCATCTTCGTCGATTGTCTTCAGTTTCCATCACCGATTATCGCAGACCGTTAATCAAATAGTTAGCATTAAATAGACTGAAAAAAGAATAAGTATTCAAATTCCAACACACTAAAAAAATACATCATTAAACTGTTTCATGAATACACATTCTTAGACAAACTCGGAATAAATTTGTTTTCAAATATATATATATATATACCTCTCCCACTTCACAATTGTAGTTTTCCACATTCCTGAATGGTAGGACTGAGATTACTAATAGATCTAGGCAACAACCAAGGAGAAGCTTGACAGCTGAAACTGAATCACAGGAAACATTCCGTAGATACAAAATGGACGATAGCTCATCCTCACCAAGCTTCCACCTTAAATGACTCTTCTCATCAGCTGCAGCAAACTAGGACAGATTTCTCCGACTCTTCAACTAGCTGCCTAACTACAGATAGCAACCAAGAAGTGACAACCCTCTTCTCTACAAAGCGAAGCTGCTTTAAACCCTTTGCAACTGAAAGAATATCTCCATGATGGGTTGTTTCGGTCCCATCAACTGCCTTCATATTTTCCACCTAACACGAGACGCTTTGTTAACTTAAGCATAGGGTCAAGACTTTGGGCCTCTTACCCACCAAGTATCTTGGTATTGGTACAAACCAAACGATCTAAATGGTTAAGGAATTATTATTATCTCTTATAGTCTTGAGTTCGAACACAACGTCTATAAGGTTGTATGAACATTCATTATCAAATGATTGAGAGTATTCTTTCAAACAAATAATACATTATATTCACCCAAACCAAAAAAATAAAATTATCTTCATCATCTCATGGAATTGATGAAGATATTTGTGTAACGCCTCAAGCAGTTCTGAGCCTTCAACAATTCTTGCTTCTTCCAAAGCATCAACCATAAATAATAATAAATCTAAAAATATTTTTTTAAAGTGAACACATCTATTTTAACAAAATAAAATTTTTATAAGAACCAAACAATATAAAATATTTGTGGTACTTCAAATTGTTGAAGTTGTACGAACCAAACAATTATTACCAAAATTCCTCCTTTTCCAACATTACAATTTACAAAAGAACGAAGACGGGATAGAAAGCCATTTTGAGGGCTCATGACAGGATGGAATAAGGTGTTTCGCACCTCAAAGCTGACTGTTAGGTTGGCTTCTGGCAGAATGACACGTGTATTGCCGTCTACCTTTATTCTGGCGGTTGCATGATGCGTAGCTTGATTTGCTTTCGTAGAGACATCCCACATTGAAAAAGCCAAGTCCGACATGAATAAAAAAAAAATCTAAAGGCTTTATCTTTTAATTACCGTCCGATCTACGTTATCTGACTAAAGAACCGACCGTCACGTGAGTTGGGAGAGATACTCGAGTCCCAAACTTCGCTTTTTGCAGCCGTAAATTGACAAGGACCCCATTCTTCATGTATTAGAGTACTGCCACAAGTAATACTGTGAAGTGAGAAAGCCTCAAGCCTCACGTGCAACATCGTAAAGTAAACTTAAACTAATAAACTTCAACGAAACAATTATAATTTTTCTCTCTAGTAAGTATTATCTTGAGCCAAAATCACTTAGATATTGTTTTTGAGAAGAAAAAAAATCATATTTAATGATCACAAGCCTAATTCATTATTTTTAAGCAAAATAATCTTTACAATATTGTAGGAAATCGTATGAATCACTCGACGTCTTTTATGAAAATAGATTAGAAGACCTGACATCTTCTCCTAAGATGCATATATGCTTGTAAACTAACAATGTTGTAGTTTGAATGATGTCTTCCCAGAGACATCGTGCAATGCAACATTGATATTACATGATAAAGTATTTTTTTTTCAAAAATCGTCAAGTAATCTGAATGTTTCCTATAATGTACTGTAACATTGACCTTAGATAAGAACTTTTTTCTAACTCCTTATATGAACAAATCTCTTTTTAACTAAATTATGTAAGAAAAGTTATCATTATCTTTAAAAATAAAATAAAAATAATAAATCAATAATATATCTTTTGGATGTTAAGTAATCAAAATAAAAAATAAAATAAAAATATCCACCAACATAGTTTACCCAAAAGTAAAATAAAATCAAAATGATAACAAAACTAAAATACTAAAAATAATATTTGAATTGATGTACTTTTGTTAAATAAACATTAAAGTCTTTTGTTTTACAAATTGAAGTTTGACTTTCTTTTTAAATAAAGCCACAAATTTTCAGCTGTATTCTTAATATTTTAACCCTAATAAAATAAAATAAAGGACAGTTCAGTCTTCTAAAAAAATTGATGGGTGGGTTAGATGAATTGAAGGAATAAAGATTGGTTAGGACATCATTGAAGACAAATTTGTGAAAAGGGCATTTAAGATTTGCCCTATGCACCTACCCACCAATAATGACCACATCATTAATCCTTCCATTATTTCATTAGTCTAGTAGGATTTAATATATATATAAATAGAGAGATAGTTAGGATGTACTTACACGATGTAAAATTTTGTGTAAATTTAAAAGATTTTTACGTTGTGTAAAATGATTTTGATTTAACAATCTTAATAATTAAAGAATTATTATTATATTTTTATATTTGTTTAGTAAGATTTAGGTGATTACACAGTAGTATATGTTCTAAATACTCTCAGTAATTATATAATGAACGCTCAATCACCCTTACAGTTGTTGTGCTCGAACCCGTAACTTTTAAAAACAACAACGATTTCTTTAACTACTGAGATAAGTTAGTTCGTGTATAAATTTATATTTTAACATTGAATCATGTATACATATCTAAATTTATAGATAAATAAGCTGACAAGTTCAATTTTAATATATTGATTTTTATATACGGATGTCATGTTTCATTCATATGTGTATTTTGTTGAGAGTTTTAGTGTATTATATTGAAAATAAATAAATAAAACTTGTAAAGCGTTGTATGTTGAGAGTTGTTATACGGGTTTGTTGACTAAGAATATTAACTTATGAACAAATATTTAAGTTATAATATAAACATGATTAAAACTGAGTTTAAGTTATACATTTTAAATTATGCGATCCAAAAGGAAATTAATTAAAATATAAATGATTTGTACATTTTATTTTTTAATAAAAAATATTAATTAGATTAAAAAACTCAATTTAATAATTATATATAACCAATGAATTATAAATATAAAAAAGAAAAAAATATTAAATTTAGTTTTTAAATATAAAAAATTTAACACGGATTTTCTTCTGATTTATAATAATTAGAGTTTAAAATATTTATAAACTATATTCATTTAATATTTAATTATAATAATTTTTTTTTGGATAAGTAAAATTTTTATTCATCCAAAGAATGCAGACTAGCTGCAACAACCATAACCCATCAACCCATTACATCAAACCCCAATCTATACACAACTGTCTATTTACTGCATCTAGCCTATTCATGCGGCATCCATACATTTTAATACTTACAACTTCTTTAATTCTACTTACAATGGCATCGATCGAGCGAGTCTTACCTCTAAATAGCCTGTGATTACGCTCCTCCCAGATGAAATAAATGAACCCAGACCAGGCCAGCTTAAGGATATGAACCAATAGAGACTTCCCTTTAAGGTTCAGCAGCAACCAGCAGACAAGGTCATTCCAGCATAAAGGCCCCAGATTAAGTGCACAAGCATGCAAGATGGCATGCCAAACTCCCACAACATAGGCACAATCAGAAAAAATGTGATCACGAGACTCAAAACCAGATCTGCACAAACCACAACCACTATCAACAGCTATACCCAACCTTGCAAGCCTGTCTTTAGTTGACAATCTGTCTTACATTGCCATCCAAGATATCATTGAAAAATTTGGAATATGGCCAGGAAACCATACAAGCCGATGCCAACTAACCTTCTCACCTCTACAACGAATATTATCCCAAATCCACCGAGCATTAACTTGAGACCAGTTACTAATAGAACAGAACAAACTGCTAGCTTCACTCCTCAGCTTAAACATTTTAGCTAAGATCCAGCTAAAGTGAGCCCTGTAATCAGCATGCCAGAAATCCACTGATCTAAAGCAATAAGAGTTCACCCAAGCAATCCAAAGGGAATCTTCCCCTGCCAAAATCTTCTTAATCAGCAGTAAGCAACATGATTTGCTCCAATCTGTCAAGCTCCTTAAACCCAAGCCTCCCTCAGATTTTAATAAGCATATCTGTTTCCAGTTCACCCGAGCCCCTCTAGCTGAGGAATCACTCCCTTTCCAAAAGAACCTCATGCACAATTTCTCAACATCCCTTATGACTCCCTTAGGCAAGATAAGATGTCTACTCCAATAGCTAAAAATACTAAATATAACAGATTTAATGAGCTACAATCTACCCCCAAAGCTCAGCCTCTTATTGGCCCATTTACTCAAATTTCCTTAATTTTAGTTACCAAAGAAGTACAATCTTTACTAGTAAGCTTCCTGGTAACCAAGGGTACACCAAGGTACCTAACAGGGAGATTACCAACTCTAAAGCCTGTTCCAGCCTTTATTTGCCCATGGACAAGGTCAGATACACCACAAGCATAAAGCTCAGTTTTCATAGCATTGAGTCTAAGGCCAGAAAGCTTGTAGAAAGTCTCTAATGTGCTAAGAACGCCCATCACAGAATCAAAAGATCCATGGCAAAAAACCAGCAAGTCATCAGCAAAGCAAAGGTATGTGAGGGAGATCCTCTTGCACTTAGGGTGGTATTTAAAGACACCTCTTTTGGCAGCAACATCCAGTAAAGAGGAGAAGACATTCATAACCAGTACAAAAGGATAAGGGGATAGAGGATCCCCTTGTCTAACTCCTCTAGCACCCTTAAAGAATCCCACTAAACTACCATTTAAAGAGACAGAAAACTGAGGAGTAGTGATACAAGCTTTTATCCAACCACAAAACTGCCCAGGTAAGCCCATAGCCTCAAGCACAGTCATTAGGAATTCCTAATTTACAGAATCAAATGCTTTCTGTAAGTCAATCTTTATGGCATATCTAGGGGAGAGACTTTTCCTAGAATAGCCTTTAACTATCTCCTGGGCTAGCAAGGTATTGTCAACAATATTCCTACCTTTAACAAAAGCAGATTGACTAGGGGAAATCATACTAGGAAAGATAAGAGCCAACCTAGTAGTGATAATCCTAGTAATTGTTTTGTATACCACAGAGCAACAAGAAATTGGCCTAAAATCCTTTGACATGCAAGCATTCAAAGACTTAGGGACTAAGATAATAGAGGTAGCATTGAAAGCTGGCAGCAGAGATGAAGAGTGGAAGAAATACCTTACTGCAGCTAAAAAATCATTTCCAACCACATCCCAAGCTGCTTTAAAGAACCAAGAGGAGAAACCATCAGGGCCAGGGCTCTTGCCATTACCTTGCCTAAACAAAGCCTCTTTTATTTCCTTGTCATCCACCTCCTTTATGAGCATATAACCAGCACCTTCTGGCAGAGAGTAGTTCAATAAGTCCTTGAGCCACTCCACAGGAAAATTTTCTACCATTGGATCAGTAGTCCCAATAAGGTTAGTGAAGAAGTTCACTAACTCATTCGCTATATCATCAAATGAATCCAGATACTGACCACTTCCAGACAATGAAACCTTGATAATATTCCTCTTCTTGTTAGACTCAACCCTTTGATGGAAAAATTTAGTGTTAAGATCCCCTCTCTTAACCAGTGCACCTTTGCAATTTGCCTATAAAATTCAGACTCAGCAATCTCCAAATCAACCAGCTCAGCATGAATATTTCTCTCTTCCTCAATACTTATTTGATCAGTGCAGCTGAGATTAAGCAGTTGAATCCTCTCCAGTTCTGTTATTTTATTAAGCACCCTGCTGGAAAATGTCAGAGAAATGCTCCTTATTTAGCTCCTTCAATCTAGGCTTAAGTCTTTTCAATTTAGAAAACTGTCTTTGCATAGGATTGCCCGCGCACTGCTCCAACCAAGAAAGCTTAACAACTCCCATAAAACCAACATTTGAAGTCCAACCGTTAAAAAACTTGAAAGGCTTAGGCCTCCTAGCCAAAGCATCATTCTGTGTCCAGATCATACCAAGGCAATGATCTGAAGCACCCTGTGCCTTGAATTCAGCAAAAGAATCGGGATGAGCAGTTAGCCATTCAGGATTAACCAAAATCCTGTCAAGCTTGCGAGCAAGAAAACCCTTATCTTGCCTATTAGACCAGGTGAAAGTGGGACCAAGGAAATGATGGTCCAACAGGTCCAAATCTCCTAAACAGTCTTGAAAATCTTCCATATCAGAGGAGCTGTGCACACCCAAGGACTCAAAATCAGAGCTCTCATCTGCACTAAGAACAACATTAAAATCCCCTCCAACCACCTAGGGGGAAGAACCAACCAAGCTTTCCAAACTCCTCAAATGATCCCATAAACCTCTCCTGCCAATCCCACTATTACTGCCATAAACAGCGGTAATTAGTGTCCTACAGCCATTAATATTGCCAGCAATGGAGAGAGACTGATCACTAGCACTCAAAATAGAGAAGGACCATTGTTTCCTCTATAGAATCCAAATGCTGCCCCCCTCTGCAAAATCAGAATTACCTACCAAATACCAATCATCAAAGTAAGCTGAGTAAAACTTCATAGAATTAATTCTTCTAATACGGGTTTCCAAGAGACAAACGACATCAACTCCCAAATCCACTAGCCTTTTAAACACCTTATGTTACTTAAGAGGGTTATTAATCCCTCTTACATTCCAAAAACTCACTATCATCAGTTTGCAGCAGGACCTACACCACTTCCAGTCCCCACATTACCACTAATTTTTGCTTTATCCACAAGATTTCTCTTTTTAGACTTGATTTTGTTAAGCAAAGCAGCAACTCCTAAGGAGGCCACCCGAGCCTTTCTCGGACCATCAAGCACACCTCCCTCAGCTAGCGATTCAAATTTACTAGAAGAACCAGTATTACCTTTCTTCCTCCCTCTAGCCTTCTTATTTGAAGCCATAGAATCTTTTAAAGTAGGGAAATCCCCCACAGAACATGTATCCTCCTGTAATACCTTAAGAGCCACTTCCTCAACTAAGGAGGAGCTAAGAGTGTGATCAAGGCCAACAGAACCAGCCACCACACATTCTCCCTCATATGCAATCTTTGGATCCTCCTTACACACTACAGAAGCAGACTCCACCTTATTAGAATCATCCACCCGAATACTGCCATCAACAACTACAAGGTGAGAAATACCAGGCAAGTCTTGTAAGGCTGAAACATTGTTTCCACAGCATTACCAACCAACAACTCATGGTTTGAAACGCCAGCACCAAGAGCAGAGCTAACATTACCTAAGGAGCCCAAAGGCAAATCGGAAAGCACATGAGATGAACTCTGAATAACAATTGAATCCATCTTTCCCTTATCACAGAGCTCGGAGGAGCTGATGCCCTTTTCCCTCCAAACTTTAACCTCGTGCTTCACCTTCTGAGACACAGCACACCTATTTGCCAAGTGCCCAAAAGTTCTACAACAGGAGCAAGATTTTGGTAACCACGGAACAAAGACCTTTATAGTAGCCAAGGATCCATTCTTAAGGGCAACATTTACCTCTTCAGGAATCCTGAACCCCGCAATGATCTCCACACACACCTTCGCATATTCCAGTCTCTTCCTAGAAGCAGTAATGGAATCCATATACAGTGGATTCCCTAAAGCACTGGAAATGTAACTGAGACCTTTCCTAGAGTATAATTCCAACGGGGCGTTATAAAGATGAAACCAAACAGGCATAACAGAGAGATCAAAATCAAGTTTCTACATACAAGGTTCCCATTTCCTCAGCACCAGAGGTTTATTCTGGACATGCCAAGGTCCATTCTCAAGCACCCAGTCCCTAACAGAAGCGTTCATGAATGAGAAAACATAAAGATTCGAACCAGCTAAGCTTACCTTTACTGGCGAAGATTTCCCCCAGAGCGAGTTAATAATCCGCTGCATCGATTCAAAATTTGGAGTAGCACCAATAAATTGGCCAACAGTCGCAGAGTTCCATTCGGCAATACCCTCCTCAAACACCGTCAAAGGCAGTTTAACAGTAGTGGTACCATCCAGGACCTCAGGGGGAAAGAAATCCAGGGACTGCTCCTCCGTCCCCACAAAAAGCTTCCTCCAATCTAGTTTAAGAGCCTTCGAATCCATGCAAAATCAAAATAAAACCAGCAACAACGCAAAAAAGAAAGAGCCCAGCGATAAATTAGAATCGAAGAAGGAGATCGGAGAACACATTAGGCCAGCTAACGTGCGCCTCGAGAGCTTCCATGTTTGCGATCTATTTCACTACTGTCCTCAACCGTCCACTAATTATAATAATTGTTTCTGTGGTTAAGTGTGTTTTAGTGCTTTATCTGGCCTAAGTTCAAATCTCAATATGTGAATTTTTCGTTTCTTTTTTCATGGCATTAATTACGGTATAAGGTATATATGTTATTGTGTAAAATATAATTTAATGGTTGAGCTTGGTTCAATGGCTAGGGCGTGCACTGTCCTCACTTATATAGGTTTAAATCATGTGGCTCCCTCCTTAACTCATTCTTTGTTCTTTGTTTTTTCTTCTACCAGATGGTAGCATGTATAACCGTCTGATTGAAAGAAAAAAAATTGAATTAAAAAAATTGAATTAAAAAAAATCTCATCATTTAATTAAAGGATTAAATTTATTAAATTAAATTAAAATTAAGATCAAACTAATAAAATGTGCAAGTATTGAGGATCAAATATATAATTATATTAATTTTATTAATTGTTACGTCAGCTTATCAGTTAAAAGTTAATGGCATATGGTTTGTGTAGACATTTATTTTCGTCTAGGACTTCAAGGATATTTATTAGATGTTTTTTATATTATATAGTATATATGATAATATATATAATAATAATTTAAAAAATATATAGTATATATAGTTTTTGAAAATATATAATATAGTTTTTGAAAACATATTATATAATTTTGAAAACGTATAATATATAGTTTTTTAAAAATAGTTTTTGAAAACGTATATAATATATGTAATTTTTGAAAACATATTATATTGTTTTTGAAATTAATATATTTTATATAGTTTTTAATATATACATATTATTATATATTATTATTATTAATATTTTATTTTATTTTTTCTTATCTATTTTTATTTTTATTTATTTTTATTTCATTTTATTTATTTCATCTTTGTTTTAGGTCCAATAAGAGTCTAAGTCCAAAAGGAGTCATGATCCAACGAAGGTAAGGATGCAAGGGTCTAAGTCAGGGCCCGTCGGACCCAATAGGCCAAGACCGGGAAGCAAGGAGTAAAGCATGAATACCCAACAGGACAACCCGACTGGAGCCCAACAGGTAGAAGCCCGAGTCGCCTGACCCAACGAGATTTGATCCAACGGCTAGATTTCATCAGGAGCGATTGGTAACTGCGCATGGAAGCCATGCGCCAGTAAGGTCATCAGACCGAAAGAATTGGGGCATATTAAACCACCCAAACCAAAGCAAAATCGAAGTGAAATCAAGCAACAATAGGATCTCCCAAGATTTTCGGCGAGGGGGACATCCTCAAGCTCGAATAAATTAGAAAACAGGGGAAACAACCCCCGAGATACTCGAAAATAACCATTGTTGGGGGTTATATAAACCCCGAAAGGCATCAAAGTAAGACATCAAGAGAAAAAAACGAAAAAGAAATCAAACAAAATAACATTAAAAATAGCTAAGGAAAATCACAAGAAAATCAAGGCTAGCGTCGACTCGGAGGAGGAACGGACGCCGGAACGTAAAAGGTCACCAAGAAAAATGACTTCAATTAAATCACATATGGTCGTCAAAGGTAAGTAATTAGGATTGAACTTCTAAATTTTAATTTTCGCAATTAAGACAATCGAGAAATCAAATTGGTACCGAATGGGCAATACAGGGGTGCTAATCATTCCCTGACTGTAATTGACTTCCGAATCCGACAAATTTTTAGTAAGTTATAGATCAAACAACGATAAGTTATGGTATCTGATCAACCAAATTAAAATGATCGGTGGCGACTCCATCACATTAAATTAATTCGAAACTCGATTCCGAATCTACTCAAAGGACGGTTACGACAACTTGATTGAATCATTTAAATAGTTGGGTGGTCTGATTGATGAAATAGAAACACTGGTAGTAAAAACGAAATAGAGTAATAGTTGATTGGTCACTCGTGTAGTTTATCCTAAAAAAGAAAAGAAGAATGCATTGATCGGGTCGGGTGGACGAATTGGTCATTGCGCGGACCCTGTGCGCAACCCGACACGAGCATCTTTATAAATTACATCTCCTTTTTTATTTCATTAAAATTTTTACTTGTTCCCTCAGAACCAAGAAAATAGAATCTAATTACCATCTGTTTCTCTAGTGTACCACTTCGTTTCAGCCGTCGCGGCAACCACCGTTCACGGCTATCCGTTAACCTTGTAACTTCCAAATTTTGACAAGAATACTCATTATTTTTACTTATAAACCCCGAAATCAGCCTAGTTTTCTCAAAATCAACACCGAAAGCACTAAATCTAAGCACGAGTCCTGCGGTTTCTAACATTTAAACCGCCACATTCTGCTGTTAGATGGTCACCGGATTTAAGACGAACTACCTTACGGTCCTCCTCAAGGTATTAACCTGTTTTGATTTTTTTTGGAGACAACAAGCCGAACTTAAGAATCCTTGAAAACCATAAAAAGAGCTTAACCCACTGCCAGCAAATGCTTGCTTTTTCTTTACTTTGCTGATGGGTATCTGTTTATATTCTGTTCATTTTTTCTGTTTATTTTTGTTAAGAAAATGAAACAGGAAAAATTATGGTTTATTCTTGTGATTTGTTGGAGAATTGTGACCCTTTCAGGGTTTGTTGATGTTGGTCTTGTCAATTCTTTGCTTTGTTGAAATCAAGGGTTTATCATAAATTCATTGTGATCGAATCTGCCAAGCAGGTCAAATTATTTGGTCTTATCCTAACCTTAATTCATGGATCCTAAGTTTTCGGACCCTATTTCTAGCTTCAAACCCCTCCAAAAAATTCTATAATAAATTCCAACCCTATTTTCAGATCTCACATTTCTTGTTTCAAAGTTCCCTTTTTAAATTTTACTCCTTTTTTATTTTTTCTGGAATTTTTCTTTTATATTTTTAAATGTCTGATTTATATATGTTTTAGAGTTTCCTAAATATGAAAAGAAATAATATGATAAAATAACATATGGAAACAAATTTGGGACGACGGCCCAACCAAGACCAAAATTCTAGATCGCCCCATTACTGAAATCATTTTCAAATGACACAGATAAAATTGTGTCTGCAGGTGAACTGATATCGTCACTAATTTTGAGCGGCGCTGGAAGGGTTCTGCTTGGAGGTTACTGGTGGCTGAAAATTCTGACTTTTGACTTTGGCTTTTGGTCATTGTAGGTATTTTACAGTTAATTTTGATGGAATTCTAGGGTTCGGAACTTGCATTTCACTACGAGCATCTCAATTTGGTGGCTATTTTTCACCTCAATTTGGTGGTTATTGTTTAGTTGCTGCTGCTGAAGTTCCCTTTTTGGAGTATATGATCATCATAGTTATTCTCTAAAATTTGACAGTTTATAAAGATTTTGTATCAAGCATTCTATTTCGAGAAACAGGCATTACACCTTTTTTTTTCAGTTATTTTGAAGTTGCTTGGATGAAACACGAAAAGGGGCAAGTTGGGAGTAAATTATGGGACAAGATTGCTGGTTAATTACTAGATTGTTGGGGGATTGTTGTGATTGTTTCAGTAGGGTCGATTAGGGCAGCAGAGATGCCTCCTTCTCCAGCATTTAGACACTCTCCACGGAAGGAACTGAGAGGGGAAACCCACAAAAGATGGCGTAGTTTGGAGGGCGGGTTGTATGTACAAGAAAAAGATGACGACCTTGCATTGTTCAATGATATGCAGTCCAAAGAAAGGGAATATTTTTTGCTTCAGTCCTCGGATGACTTGGAAGACTCATTTTGTAATTTTCTATTTTTCCTTTTGATTTCAGTTGTATTGGCTTATTTTCCTGTGAATTGAGGAACGTAGACTAGAGTCTGCAAACTAACGTCATTGTCTGTTTTCTTTGGTTTTGAATTATTGTTTACAGCTACAAAACTGAAATATTTTTCAGATTTCAAGCTTGGAATATCTGTTCCTGTTCGAGGGGAGACTAGTGAACTCCTTGTTGCAGATGAAGAGAAAAATGACTATGAATGGTAGGTCATAATTTCCTCTGCAGAGATTTTTGAATGAACTTTTTGTTTTTGAACTAAGCTGAAATAGTAATATAATCTTCATGTTAGTTGGCGTGTTAATGTTTGGTGTATGTAAGAATAAAGTCATTGCCAATGGCCTAGGCAAGAAATTAGTATTATTTTATCATTTTTATTTCATTCATTGCATGCTATTGAGCTGTTATATGTACTTGGAAGTTTTTTGGCCCTCACAAATTGTCATTCTTGGTGATTTTGAAGGTTATTAACTCCACCTGACACCCCCCTTTTTCCTTCGTTGGATGATGAGCAACCTCCAGCTAACATTGCTCGTAGGGGTAGACCTCAGACTCAACCCATTTCCATATCAAGATCATCCACAGTATGTTGCCATATCACTCTTATGGAATGAAAATGTGCATTAATGAAATAATTCAACATTCATTATAGTTTTATCTTGAAAGTCTGATCTTATTCTTTCTAAATCTTCACCCTTAATCCTCTGTGAACAATATGCAGATGGACAAGAGTTACAGAAGCAGTAGGGGCAGTCCAAGTCCAAATCGTTTAAGTCCATCACCTCGGTCTGGGAGTAGCACACTTCAATCTCGAGGAAGACCATCTTCAGCACCTCAGTCCAGTCCAATAAGGCAACCTACTCCAACTCGGAGACAATCTCCTTCCCCTAGTAAAAGTTCAGCACCCGTTCGAAGGTCTTCTACACCTACTCCTCAAAGGACAAGCACAGAGGGAAGGGGAACATCTCCTATGAGGACAAGTAGGGGAAACTCTACATCACCAAAAATAAGGGCATGGCAGTCAAATATCCCCGGTTTCTTCTTAGATACACCGCCCAATCTTCGTACTTCTCTGGCTGATCGACCAGCATCATATGTGAGGGTTTCCTCCCCTGCATCTAGAAATGGAAGGGATGCAAGATTTGGCAGGAAATCGATGTCGCCAACTGCCTCTAGAAGTGTCAGCTCATCTCATAGTCATGATCGGGACCAAGTAAGCTCATACAGTAAAGGATCTATAGCATCATCTGGTGATGATGATGTAGACACTCTACAATCTATTCCTCTTAGTGGATCTACCCTTTCTGTTTCAAGGAGGCTTGACACATACACAAATAACAAGGGGCCAACCCCCTTTAACAAGAAATCAGCTAGAGTGTTTTCACCAAGTTCTGCTCCAAATCATTCCTTTGATTCTGCTCTTCGCCAAATGGTATTTATTACCTTTTTTAGGTTGATACGCATCTGTTACATCTGTTTGGGTCCTTATACAAGTGTCAAAATATTAGTAGTTAACTTGTCTGCTCTAATGTTCTGAACCTACCTTGCTTTATTTGCTATAGTTTATTTAGTTCCTTTCTGAATGACTTGCAACAGATGATTGTTTTTATTCCAGTATTTTTCACTAAGAAGTTATAGATTTAGACTATTTGTTAATGGGAAAAGAGATATGGAAGATCATTGTACTGTGTCATGTCCGGCTAATGCCATATATCTAGGGGCGGTAAACTTGATGGTATAATTTAAATCGATGGGTTTGATGTGATCCTACTAGTCAGTAAGCATTGTGAGAACCATAGTCAGAATTAATTGCTAGATGAAGTTTTTGGAAGTGACCTGAATGCTTAATTTAATCTGGTATGTCTTGAAAGGGGAAAGAAAGTCAGAACTCCAGAACTTCCTATTGAACTACTGCATTCTATAAACCACATTTCGTATTTAAGTAAACTTTTGGAGCTGTTGGCTTTCTTTTGATGTGTTTTAATTTGTTAAATAACTCAAGAACTTCAATGCAATTTGCATGGTCTAAATCTTTACTACTAAGCAAAAAGAAATTTAAGATAGTTGTGAAAGAATTCATGCGGTGTCTTGTTAACCCTGATGCATTCACTTGTTCTTATTTAGACTTTTTGTGCATAATTAATGCATATCAAATGTTCTTGGTCATCAATTCAGACCTTATAGTTCATTGTAATCAATATTTTGATGCAGGATCATCGGAAGAGTCCTCCAAATATGTTCAGACCTCTATTATCTAGTGTTCCAAGTACCACTTATTTTGTTGGGAAGGGCAGTTCTGCACATCCTTCTTTGATGTCAAAGAATTCATCTGTTGCCACCAGCCGTAATGCAAATTCTGATCAAGGTACAAGTACTTTGTTTGATACTGAAGGAAGCGACCAATATGATGACATGGCAAGTGAATGCAGAAGGGGACCTTATGTCAGTGTTCTAGAAGAGGTTTTTGCCTTCGATAAGATGGATGTAGTAAACCAGGATGCTAGCTATGAAAGATGTAATATTCTTGTTGAAGATGCTGATAGAGACTCTGCAATGCAATGTGACCGAGGCCACTCTGAGGAGTTAAGTCACCATGGTCTTGAAGTGGAAATGAGTTCAAATTCTGATGCTCTGTGTGACAGGGGAGACCTTTCAGAAGTTGATAGTTTTGAGAATGCAAAAATTTGTTCTAAATGTGGTTGCAGGTATCGTGTTATTGAGCAGGTTGAAGAAGAAATCAGTCTTTGCACAGATTGCAGTAGGCAACATGATGTAATCGCTGGTGACATTTCTGATGCAGTGAATTACCCAGGGTTGTCTATGAGAATTTCTGAAGAGGATAAACCCTTTCTCGGATTGTCTGGTTCACCATTGCAAGTTACTGATGCAGTTGATCCCTGGATTTCTTATCAGGAAAAAAATATCAAGCAAAGTGAAAATTTCTCTCAAGAAAATTCTCTTGGAGGTTCTCTGGCAGAGGGAGGTGAGCAGAGGCTTGGTTATCAGCAAGAGATGGTTGAATCAACTGTTGGTTATTCTATACCTGAGATGGACACAGGAGGTCAGCAGTTGAATTACTCTGATGAACATTCTGGTTTGAAGGTTAATACATCAGAAGTTGTAGGTATTTCAGTGCTGTTAAAGAGGTCAGGCAGTAGCAAGGGGCCTGTTGTTCTAGGTAGGACCTTTGCTACCCTTCCATCAGAAGATTTTTCTTATGCAAGAGACAGTTCTAACAGTTATAGAAGCTCTGTTGGACATGGAAGTGTCTCTGCATCATCCTCTGTCGAATTGGGCTCATGTAGGCAAACAGATACATGTGTACAATTGAATGGTAGAAAATCTGAGTTGCAGAATTACAGATATGACGTGAATGCAAAGCCTCAAAGCTTTACTTTGTCTCGAAGTTCAAGCAATAATTACCAAGCTTTAAGTCTTGCATCTAGTATGAATGATGAAAACTTTGAGGGTTCTGTTCGTAGTCTGAAATTTGAGGAGGCAGAGGAAATAGCTGGAGTTTCTCTAGCCAAAGCTTCAGAAAATTCAGAGGCAGATTCATCATTCCCTGCTGCTGCCGTTCCCAAAACTGATGGTATTGAGTGGAATGAAAGTACGCAAGTAACTGATACTTCAACCTCTGGGCCATCAGAGGACAATACAGCAGCACCATTTCATCCCAATGACTATAGTGTTTCATATGAAAATGGAGATAACTTACCAAGTAATGCCAGGATAGCCTCAAGTGTTGAAGCATTAGCCACCACTCTGGATCCTACTCTTGAAGAACATGGTATGCGAAATGATACTCCTGATGGTATAGATGCTATTGAGGCTGCTGGCCACAGCTCTTTGACTACAATCTCAGAAATTGAAATTGATAATTCTTGTCGGAGTTCCTGCAGTTCAGAACTTGATGGCTTGCCTCCAAATTCGGGGAAGGAAAAGAAGATATCCTTGGATCTTTTAGATGTTATACCTTTAAGTGTGGATGTTACTGCTTCTGTTGAGGAGCATAATATCTCAGATCACGCAGATGGTGTTTTAGGTATGTAGTTATTTCATTTTGTCTCTCCATCTATTTCGCACTTCCAACTTGAGAATTAAAATTTCATTTGCGTTCTTGAGAAGTTTCTTGATTTGTCTATCAATATTTGTGATGAACAATTTTATGCTATGTTTAATACTTCATGAACTATCCATACTAGTCCTTTTGAAAGTTAGATTATTCTTTCTTCAACCATTGTTGCTTTCTTGTAGTTTTATTAATAAGATCAGTAAATAGCAACAGTAAGAGCTGCTTTTAATCCTTCATTGACTACCCATCATGATTGACCCCTTTTCTCTTTTTCTTTGGGTTAAGGTTCAAGTTTGTCATTATACCCAGAACTGAGATCAAATTTACCACTCATCTTTTAGCAGGTGCAATTTTAACATTCTAAATTTAGGTTGGCTTAAAATTGGTCAAAAGTTAATCATGAATGGAATATTCCATGGAGAAGCAGTGGATATCGAATATTTATTTGTGGGTATCTTTTATCATTTTTGATAAAATTAAACCAATTGGTCTAATGGGATGAGGCACTAGATCCCTTAAGTAAGGTCATGGATTTGAATCGTGGCTTTGTGAATGGAGCAAATTGAGTTGGGAGGGTCGTCCCATAATGGGCCTTTATAGTACCCAATCCGTATTAGTGGTCAATAGATCATATTTCCGATAAAATTAAAGTAGTATTAACTATTAAGTCTGCATTTTTCAGAGATGGGTAACAAGTTTACATATCACTATTAACCCTAACAATGATAAATATTTAGAAACTGCCATATTACTTTAATATTTTTGGCGTTTCTAATAAAAGTTGTACTCTCATCAGTGATTTTATTTTCAAATCTGTTCAGTTACTTGGTTTGAGTTCAGTCACGACCTTCATAAGGTTTTCATTCCCCAATTTATAGCAGCTAATTACTTGCCACTTCTGGGAAAGCTGTGGATAAGGCAATTACTGCTCTGATAATCGATGTGAGGATGGCCTCTTTGTTTTGAATGAGTTTCTGTGGCTTCAATAAGAGATAAGGGATAAGAGAAAAGAGTATGAGTTGTTTTTCCGTGAGTTTAGGTTACCCCCATAGATATGTTGCCAAATTCTGATCTTCAAAGAATTTACTTTACATTGGAAGTTATGGTCAATATTTTTTCTCTAAGTGAATGTTATCATTTATATCTTGGATTCATGGTCATAAAGGTATGGTATTTCTTCCTCCTTACTGCTCGTCAAAAAAGGTAAGAAAGGGATAGACAAGCATAATGAATATATAAACTATGTACTGGCATGTACTGACAAGCACAACTTTTTAGATCACTTAAGTGCAATTGATCTCAGGTGTTGAGAAAGAGGTATATCAGAGATCATTGTATCACAATCTACCAGCATGTTGCTGTGATGTTGACATTATCCTTATATTAGATAACCTGAATGACTCTTTTAGTTGTAGTGTTTTCTGCGTAGGACTGCTTTAACTTCAAATATTGGAAATTAATGCTTGCTTTGCAATGAATCATACTCTTGCATACCTGTAGTGGTGTCATGTTAAACTCCATTTGCACGCTGTTACTTTTTTTTCTTCTTCAATATTTGCACTGTCAAACTAATTTTATTTACAATTATTTTAACTCCATTTCGTACATAAGAATAGATGGATTTGGCCTTATGTCTATGTAAAAAATGATATTCCTCAGTTTGCGGATCAGATAAGATTTATATTTTTTTTTAATTCTTGATGTCGATGCCTTTTCGAATTTAGGCTTTGCTGGGTAGAATGGAAAGAAAATTGGAAGGATGGAAGATTAAAGGGGTAGAGAAGTGGAAAGATGGAAAATACATTTTTTCTTTGCAGTGGTGTGCTTGGTAGGAAAGATGGAAAAATTGAAAGAAAATTTAATTTTCTTTACATTTTTTGCTTGGTAGAGTTAAAAATGAGAGTAAAGCTTTTGAAAGCTACATAATTCTGAAATAACTTCTCTCACACATGTTCTCTCCTATTTTCCTTTCAAACTGGGAGGATTTGTTTTTACACACAGGATGGAAAATGATCATCTCTCATTTTTCTTTCCTACCAAGCATACTTCAAAATCATTTCTTTCCACTTTTCCACTCCCTCCCATTTTCCACTCAACCAAGCAAAGCCTTAGAGCCCAAAGCTGCACACTATCTGATTATTTGCTAAAGTTCAGCTCTGATTTGTTACCGAGTGGCAGTGAGATTTTGTTTAGTCTTTGATGGAACTTTTATGCTTTTTAACAGAGGAATCAACTGTCTTGGTAGAATGTCGTGGAGGAAGTAAGGCCCGAAGCCTGACACTTGAAGAAGCAATGGACACAATACTTTTCTGTAGTTCCATTATCCATGATCTTGCCTACGAGGCTGCAAGCATTGCCATTGAAACTGAAAGTTCAGTGCCATTGGAAGGTTCTAGGCCAACTGTGACGATCTTGGGGAAATCCACTTCTGACAGGAAAGACCTACGGGGGCGAACTGTTGGTAGATGGACTTCGAAATCTCATAAAGTCAGGCACAGGCAGGTAGAAACTGGTGTAAAATCCATTCCTACCGAGACTGTAAATGACGAAAATGCCTATGAACCTTCAAATCACAATGTTGATATTCCTACTAAGATGGACAGTATGAACCCTCCAAAGCTAGAATCCAAGTGTAACTGCTCTATAATGTGAGAAAGTTTTTCAGTCAGTTTATCAAAAAAAAAAAGTTTCAGTATGACAAAACATGCAGTGCTTCACCAGCCTCCTCATGACTTTGCTACCCCTCCGGTCTTGTTTGGAAAGATTGGCAAATGCTTTGTATTTTAAAATCATTTTGTGGTTAAATTTGTTGGCATGGGTTTGTCTTTGGTTCCACATTTATTTGTAAGAAATTCCACCGGTTGTTGGTGGTGGCATAAATTGTATAGTTATTTAGGTTGATATTAGTTAAGGCAGTGTGGGGGTCGGGGCATTTGTGTTTTTTCCGGAATCACCAAATTCTTTGTTAGTTATTACTGTTTGTTTTGGGTCCTGTTCTTTGTAGTAGAAAGTGTGAACTAAGACCCTACCCCCTCATTGATATTCAATTGTTATGACTATTGAAAATAATATTAGTTCAATTTGGTTAGCTTCTCCATCTCCTTGGTAACAGGTACTGAGACAGTGTGTACCTGCTTAAGAGGATTTTGCTGCACATTACAGGTATGTACAAATTCTTTGTCCTTTGCTTCAAGACAGTTATGATGAATGTAGGCAAAATATGCTACTTATAATATGATATGAATAACGTGCCTTTGTCGTTCATGCTGATTTTTTCTTTCTTTGTAAGTTTCATGCTGTATTTATCTCTGTATTTCTTTCTCTTGTATAAGTTTTCGTAATGATATTTACTTATCGTGCATGTTTGCAGCCCTTTTTGCAAAGGGTGCTCATGTCTTGTTTGGTAGTTTTTCAACATTTCACCCTTTTTCGCAGGGGAAAGTTTTCTCTAAGAGCTATTGCAATGCAATGCATGGCGTTGGGAACCCACTACCCCAGCCTATCCTTCATCAACTTGGTCAAAAAACTCCTCACTGGTATCTGACATGTTTCTTAGACATCCAAGGCTTTAAATTTATTGGTTTTTATTATATGGGGAAGAGGGGCGGGGACCCAACAGCATTATAGCAGCCATTGGAGCAATTTGGTTGAACATCTTGAGCTACTCTTAACATCTGATATCTAAAGATACGATTCGAGTTTGAAACTTGAAATGTCCTGTATTTTTTGTTCTTTTCAGCAGCCTTGATATATGTCATACAGTAAGAGTTATTTGAAAGTCGAGAGTAGGGTTTTTCTATAGTTTCTCTCCCTTGGCTCTGGGTGCTGAAACTGAGCAGCTTTCAGGAATGAGTGCTCAGAGATCATCATATTTTGTTATAGTTTACTTTATTAGCAGTTTTGTGCATAAATGGTGGAAAATTCCTTACTTGGCTAGCAGTGAATATATGGATAGCTATTCTAGAAATAAGAAAGCAGATGAATCTGGATTTTTCATACAGGTATCAGGATTCATATACCATTATCTTCTTCTTCTAGATCACATGGTTATATATGTAAGGGAAAAAATTGCAAAACTCCAATCACATTTGTCCAAGCAGGCTCTATCAATTATTTGATTTTGATTGAAGAAAATGAGCTTTATCTATTTGGTAATGTGTACTTGGACTAGATTCTTCATCATCTCATTACCAAACCTCAAAATCAATCTTAAATTTATTAATTTTGTATGATTACACATTAAGTTTTTATTTTAGTTTAATAAAAAAATGATATTAATCGGATTGTACACTTAGCAAACATAATTATTTGTTGCATAGTAATTTAATTTCAGGATGAGGCAGATTCAAAGCACATGGATAAATGATAAAAGACGATTCCAGAGTGAACAGGCCCCTCGACTTCTTATGCTAGAAGATGCTTAACTAAGGTAAGAGGGTTAACTTGTTTCACTTTAAATGGACAAAAAGAGAACAAAAGAAAGAAAGAACATTGAAAAGGATAAATTAATATTTTTATTTTGGTCACTAGACTTTAAAATTTATATTAAAAATATTTAATTTTAATTCTTTTACACTTTGGTCACATTATTTACTTTAATTGATGTGACATGTTTATCTATTTAATAACAGTTGAATCGGAATAACAAAAGTTAATTCTTTTAATTAATTAATACTCTCTTTGTTTTATTAAATTTGCCTTTATTGACTTTTGATATTTGTATTTGTTTTATATTTATTGACTAATAAAACAATGATATATGTTATCGTTTCAGAGGAGAGTATTGATTTATTTTAAAAAAAACATTTAACATGCTGATTCAATTGTGGTTAAATATGATACCGTTATAAATAATTATATTTTTTTTATTAATTTGGAGTAGATATAAGGTCTGTTCAAATATAACTTTAAATTATTTGATATTAAATGTTAATACTCCTGACATTCATAGTGTTTGAATCTGAACCTCTAACAGTAATTCTTTTACTACCGAGATTGCTGGTTCGTGCACAATATATGTTTTAAAATTTTGATGACCAAATTGAATGTACCTTAAAGGTTCAGTGGCTTCCAGTATAGTTTACCCTAAAAATATTATTATATTTGTTAATAAAGATATTGAAATCTAATGGAACGAAGATCTGGATTAATGGAAAGAGAGGTAGAAGTAAAAGAATGGAAGAGGGGCAAATGGGAGAAGAAATTGGAGACATGATTAGGATGGGGGGCAGTGGCGTATTCAGTCGGAATGTCGAACAAGGCGAAGACCGTTAGTTGTTTTGTTTTTGAGTTTGACATTTGAACAAAAAACCAAACATATGTCCATGTCTCATTTCAAGCTCTCTCTCTCTCTCTCATGCAGTTCAAAGGATTAATCAAAGTCGCCGCTTAATCCGCTCTTCTTCATCCTCATTTACCCTTCCCAACATCCACTTTTGGATTTGCCCCTTTTTCCCCTGAATTTTGATCCTTAAACATCTTCTTTTTCTTTGGATCTTTCATCAATAAGATTGCAGTATAGCAGCTCCCTTCATAAGGAAATAAACTAAACAAAATTCTCTGAATGAAATAACACCATTCTCTTCACCAATGTCTTCTTCCTCTATTCTTACAAATTACCCTCTTATTTGTGCTTTTATTGCATTTGCTATTGCCCAATCTATCAAGTTCTTCACCTCCTGGTATCACTTTCTCTTCACCATGAATCTTAAATCTTTGTTTTGTTTTGTTTCTGTTATTTCAATTTTTTTTAATATTTGAGGATCATTTGCTGCATGTCTAATATATGGAATTTTGTTGTTAATTATCTTTCGGTGAACTTGTTTCCTAGAGCTTTTAATTGGGTAATTGCTGCTTTCATCATTGGTGGAATAAAAAGTTGCCTTAGATAAATGGTGTTCAATTGATTTGACCTGGTTCAGCTATCAATTTCAAATAAACTCCCTTATATCCAAGTTCATCAGTACACCCAAAATTCAACATCTTGAACCTTGGGGTTTCTTTGATTATTCAAGCTGTAATTATGGTCAGCTCTAGCTTGATTCAATTCCCTATTTTGTAATGATAGCATTTTTTAGTTTCCATGCTTTCTTTTACACTCTTCTAATTACCCAATTGGTAGATTTAGTTAAGAAAAATCTTAGTACACAGAACCATTTGAGGGACTCATGCTGATAACTTGATAGATTATAGAGTTGGGGGTGGCAAGTTTGTAGAGCTGATTGATAGATGGCGGTATTTTTCTTGCTATTTGCACCGGTTTTTCCTTGTTAAAGTTTTTGAGTTCTGCAGGTACAAGGAAAAGCGATGGGATATCAAGCAACTTGTGGGATCCGGTGGGATGCCTTCGTCCCATTCTTCTACTGTCACTGCTCTTGCTACTGCTATCGGATTCCAAGAAGGTTTTGGAGGATCACTATTCGCAACCGCAATGATCTTAGCTTGCATAGTATGATCCTTAGTTTCTCGTTTTATGATTGGCTTGTAAAACTAGTGAATCACATCGAATTGGAGTCTGCCATGATTTTTAGATTTTGCTTTCTATGTTCCTGCTGGTGCCTGGTGCTAGTCTAATTTTTTCCTAATATTGATTTCTAGTACCTGAGCAAAATGCAACAGGGCTGATAAACTTACAATCAATGAATGGGGTTCTTATGTCACCGACACTGCCTACATTAGATTGTGTTTTGATGGGATGGATTTGATCTGCAGGTAATGTATGATGCAACCGGTGTGAGATTACACGCTGGACGGCAGGCAGAGGTTCGATTCTTTTGCTCTGGTGTTTTCTATTTATATCCTCATTCCATGTCTTTTCCAAAACACAAATTTCCGCGTTGTCTCTACCAATATTTTCAGAGTAATTGGATGTTGTAAAAGCTTTACTTATAAACTGCATTTCCCATTATGAAATGGGATGCATAATCACTTGGTTTAAACTTGATTTCTTTCATTTATCCATTGCCAAATTGTATGTTCGTCAGGTCCTGAATCAAATTGTTTACGAATTGCCTGCTGAACATCCTCTGGCTGAGAGCAGACCATTACGTGAACTTCTCGGTCACACCCCTCCCCAGGTACATTTGCATAGCAGATTATCTGTAATAATTACTTGATCCACACTCTTTTTCTTTAACATCCTTTAGTTAAGCTTCATTTTCCCCCTTAAAAACTAATCGAGAAGATCTTGTAGCCCCCTGGCCCTTTATTTTTCTTCAGAACAATAGATGTTTCAAATGTTGTAACTAATGGCTATGGAAATCTGGGTTATGTTTTAACATCGATGTTGATCTACATACAAATTATAAACTGCAATAATGTTGGTAATATCGGGCACTTAGAGCAACTTCATCCGGGACAGTAGTTTTGTGGAAAGAATTTATAATTTTCAACCTTCCATCTCAATTACAGGTTTTTGCTGGTGGACTGCTTGGTATTGTAACATCTGCTGCTGGTTATTTTATTATCTAGGGAATCAGGTAAATGTTGATGCTCATAGTGATCATAGATATCATTCTACAATAGCTTCGATATTTGAACCTCGGTTGCCTCATCGACTGCCACACAAACGAACTGCAACTTGCAGATCTTCACTCCCAATGGAGAGGTTTCTAGGATTTGAGTAATAATGTTTCAGATGTCTATAAGAGCATGTTGTTACTTTGGAGTTTCAATTCATTTAACCAGTAGCATCTTTTAACTTTTAAATGATTTGTCTTGTGTAATGGTGATAGATTGAAGCATCTGCTCAATCTAATCAAATGTAAATTGTTTTTGCCATATGTATATTAGTTCTAGGGTTCTAGCATTATCCAGTTGCATTCTTGACAATCTTTTAGCAAGGATATTTTACTGGAATATCAACTTATTTGTTGATTAAAGGTTCGGATTGAAAAAAAGAATCGAACTTAGCTTGTTATTGTCAAGTCAAACTCTCAAACAAGTCAAATTCGAGTATTTTAATAATGTGGTATTTTATTATGCATGAAGCAGTACAACTGACCAGTATTCCAAGTCTTGTAGTTTTCAGCCATTCAAGATATGGTCTTCTATATTGGTTGACTTGAATCCTAAAATGGTAGAAAAAACCGTTTTCATCTTTGCATAAGGATCCCCTACAATACTTGACTTAGAACGCCAAGCGACGTGCTCGTCTAGCCTGACTAAAATGGCTCCTTGTCCCGTCAACTGACAAGTTCTCCACCATGACAATGAATCCGATGACATTTTAACCTCTATAGCGTCCATGTAGTTCTTCCAGGGTGCTAATTTCGCTTCGCTCCCACACTGAAATCCGGTAACAGTATCGGCTGGCCAAAGCACACATACCTTGGCAGACACTTTATATTCCTCAGCAGCCTTAAATGCAGCTCGAACAAGATTATAGGACTCCTCCACTGGTGCTATAATAAGAAGGAACTCAACTTTGTCTACAGACACAAGATCATGCGTAGAAATGGTTTTCTGCAATAATTTTAAGATGAATAGAAAAAAATCTATACAACACCATGCTTAGGTTCAAATGCTTCTAAATCATCCAGTGATCGTGCTTCGAAGTTCATAAATCGATGACAAACATGCATAATTGATCAATAATATATCATACCAAGCAAATCCTATATTCAATCTTTAACTCAAATAATGTCATATTATCATTAATAACACCATAATCCATTCATAAAGCAGTGTGTCTATCGCTTATAACCTGCTAGTTAGGTCATTTGTTACCATGGAAGACAGAACTACTTTTAAAGATTTTATGTGATTTGCTTGATACAATATTTGAATGATTATGCGAATGATTTATGAAGTTCTTTATTTTGATTATAATGATTCTTTAACCGTTCAATAAAATGATTCATTGATCAATTAATGTTATTGAATGATTCCATATGATATCCTGAAATGTTAAGCTTGATCTTATGTGCTTGTGTGACTAACCGAATGTGGTCGTTCATTCCTTCCGGTACTAGAATCGAGACATTACTAGTTATTTAAGGCTTATATTAAGCGAGAAGTTTATGTTTCATATACTCTTACAAGAATTTTAGATAGGATACTTCTATATTAATGGAGATAGGGAGTGTTATGTGTGACATTGATGATGGTAATACCGTTATCTTATGTCAATTTCGAGCCATGAGATAATATAAACAGACATACGACGTCAAATGAGCAACAAGAAAAGGCAAAAGACCGAAAGGTGCATGAGGGGATTATATATGTACCTCACTTGGAGAATTTGATAAAACCCTAACATTCATATGAGGCAGCCTTGACCCTGGATCTGCACAGGGAACATAATCCCTTCGACGGCCGGTGGGCAATTCAGGAGCAGGCACAACGTCTTTACTATCTGGAACAAGTGCTCCTTCAAGATACCTGACACGCGCATAGATTACTAGAGAAATCATACCCAGCCATTATTTTAAAGATCAACAAGTTAATAGAAGTCTTGGAAATTGTTTAATTCCATCTACTGTGGTTGTTGGAAGTTTCAAACAATTCTAAAGAGTAATATTCATACCTAAATCCAAGATCCTCAGCAGGAAAATGGAGTTGAAGGCTCTTTCCTTCTTCAAAAATATGTTTTAGTTTAGCAAGCCTCGATGATCCAAGCGGGTTATTTTCATTTAAAATTAACCCTGAGAGTTGTGAACGACCTACCGAAAAGATTCCATCTAATATAGCCTTCTGCATGCCAGATGGTAAAATGGAACCAACCCCCTTATTAATAACTTGGTGAACTGCATAACAAGCAAAAGGAAGAATGGTGACCAACAATGAACTGAAACCAGAATATCTACCTTCAAAGGGTTTGCATAGCTTAAGATATACAGTACGATTATCAGGGCAATGGGTACATTAATTTACCAGAATTTGCAACAGCTGGATCAAGCCCAAGAGTTGCAGGAACTACCATTGCTGCTCTGAAGTTCTGCACGCTAAGAGCTGTATTGAATACAGCAATCTGACAATGCAATAAACATGGAAGCAATGACCGAAGAGCTCATGAATAAAAATGAACGAGAACAAAAGCAGGAAAGGCTGAAGCAAAATACCGGCTTACGTTCTGTTTCGTATGTGGCAAGTATTGAAGATGGTGCAACACCTTTCAATAGAGAAGCAATTTTCCAAGCCAGATTATGGGCATCCTGGATTCCTGTATTCATCCCTGCAAAATCAATGTTGAAATCCTATAAATGGTTTTTTCTCGTACCATAACTAGTATGCAAGGAACCACACTTTACCAACCAACGAAGCTACAAAAAAATATTTCAGTATTTAATGTTATAGAGTTGCCAGCTGCAGGTGACAAAAAATGTTAATCCTGAATGATCGATATGTACATTTTTATGGTCAGCAAAAAAAAAAGTGTTACTCACCAAAACCACCAGCGGGAGGGAAACGGTGGGCAGCATCTCCACAAAGCATTATTTGATTATTGCCGCAAACAAATCTCTCAGCAACTTCAGCATGCATCACCCATGGCTTAATGTCAATCACATCTATATCTGACAGCTCTTGACCAACCAATTTGAGTATTAACTTCTTGCATATCTACAAAAAGTTGCATCCTTCAAAGAAATTGTCATTGAAGTTTGTGAAGTTAACCGTTTATTTACCCATTAATATATTTTATTATCTAAAAGTAAAGTCAGCCATGCATTTAATTTAATCAAGATGCCGAGGTAAGCTTAGGACCTAAATCAACCATTAAGTCAGCCATGTACATTTAGAGTGCTAATGATGTAAATTGGTGGAACTAGGTGCCGCTTAAATGTACGCTAATTCTTCATCCACCTGATTTTTCTCTCTTTTGAATGAGCAACGACAAAAAAAGGGGTTATCCTAAACATCCAAATCTATGATGAAATGAAATACCTCAGGGCTGAAATCTTCCAGGTTTTGTTGAGGAGGATAGAATGGGATCTGCAAGATGATGATCAACAAATCATCTTCAGTATAGGGTGAATGTTAAAGTAGCGGTACTACGTAAACAGAGATGCAGAGCATTTCCTATAAACTCCGATACCTGTAATATGAATTCCCCTTGTGTAAGATCATGAGCAACAAGAACCCCGATAGCTTCAGTGTTAAAAATGAAAAATAGCATGCCATGCCTTTCATTAAGCAGGTATTGTCCGAGTTCCTTGCTCCAGAAATGAACACTCACAAGTTTTTGCAAGTCTTTTTCACCTTTCAATTCTATTCCGACATGCTTTCTTACCGCACTTCCAGCACCATCAGCGCCAATAAGAATTTTGGACTGAATTTTTCTCGTCAACAACTTACCTTCCTTGGAAAAAGAAACAGTTGCGGTAACACATTCATCAGTTGTGTCAATGGAGACACACTCATGCCCATCAAGATTTCCCTTCCCCTGAGTGGCTCTGGACCAAGGCCTTCGAGATCTTCTAACGTGTGAATACCAAAACCAAGGTTCTCCAACATCTTAACAAGTATCCTAGTTAACTTGTACTGTGAGAAGTGGGCAACGGAGATTGGACTAACAACCTTTTCAAAATCTGGCAATAATAGATAACAAAAGAATGGATTTATGGAACAATCTTTAATCACCTATATATCATCTACAATAGCACAGCATGAATATCCCCTTATTTAAAGCAGTCTAAGGGCTGGATTATTTACAAAAATAGAATTACATTTTCATTAAAGAGCAAAAAAAAAAAAGAGTCCTGAAATTGAAGAATGGTATAACTAAAGGATATGAATTGGAAGCAGCTACTGGCAAGCCGAAAACACATAAGACTATAAAGCCAATCAAACCTTTAGGATGTATATGGTCCACTGAACCAAGGATTGAACCAGTCAGTGAAGTACAGTATATAAATTTTCTCCATAAATATACAGGTGGTTGTGACCTTTGAATCTCCTATGCTAATCCATCCAATTTCCGAAACACCTAACAATCAGTAGCTACAAATTAAGCTTAATATACCTCTACTAGAGTAAAAAGATTACACTCAAACTTCCATAAACAAAGAAAACCGACCTCCATTGTTCGATTATTGATAAAATGAGCTTGCGGGTGCTTGGAAAAACCATTGTTTTTCTCCAAAACCGTGCATTTTACACCTACAAGACATCACTATTCACTTGCTACATAGTTCAAACACATTAAAAATATAAAAGAAAGAAAATTTTATAATAAGCTGCATTGATCTCTCTGAAAAAAATTTGATTAAACAAAGATGAAAAGAAAAGACAATTTCCACGTAAAGAAGCTCATGGAAATTGAAATTGTTCTATATTTACTTATGTTTATACTGAAAAGGAGGGAAAAAATGAAGAAATAAACTTTCGGTTAAATAACATACCGAATTTGTTGAGAAGAATCGAGAGAACGAGACCAACAGGTCCAGCACCAACAATCAAAACAGGAAGAAGAGAGTCATTGCCGCTGAGAATTTTGGAAGATGATAAGCTTCTACATTGAATATTATAAGGGTGGAATCTGATTATGGGTTTTGTTCCATGGGGGAAGTTAAAGCCCTTGATAAACCCTGAAACCCCCATGATCCAGATGCAGCTGACGCTGAAGCAAAGTG